TTTTTTTTTTTTTTGGTCCCAGGGATTGAACCCAGGGGTCCTTAACCCCTGAGCCCCGTCTCCAGCCCTTTTTATTTATTTAGAGACAGGGTCTCGCTGAGTTGCTCAGGGCCTCGCTAAGTGGCTGAGGCTGGCCTCCAACTTTTGATCCTCCTGCCYCAGCCTCCTGAGCTGCCGGGATGACAGGCGTGCGTCACCGCCCTCTGCTGGCATCTTTCTTAATAACAAATGGGGAAACTGAGGCTTGATGGGACTTGACCGAGCTCACAGAACCGGTCAGTTATAGAAATGTGCTCAAAGACGTCTTAGGAGACTCGACGCCCAGCGTTCCTTGCTCATTTGGGGGGACTTGAAGAAGGAGCCCCCTAATGCTCCAGTCCCCTCTGACTCACCTGCTGTGGCCTCGGAGGTGACCTCTCGCACATCCTGAGTCCCACGTGCATGTTTCCTCGGGTCGTCCTGCTGTCCGTGGGACCCCAGAGGCCACCCAAGGCAGGCAGCCAGGTGCGCTGAGCTGTCCCCCAGGCCGGCCGCTCACCCCGCCGCCCGATGCCTTCCCAGGTGCCTTGGGCCACCTCCGCCACCATGAAGATCGCGGTCATCGGACAAAGCCTGTTTGGCCAGGAGGTTTACAGCCACCTGCGGAAGGAGGGCCACGAGGTCGTGGGCGTGTTCACCATCCCCGACAAAGACGGGAAGGCCGACCCCCTGGGTGAGTGAGGCCGGCCAGGAAGGGGACGGGGCAGCCCGGTGGCCAGGGCGCATGCGCAGGTGCGGGGCGCTGGGGTCCTGGGTGGGTTCTGGGAGGCAGTGGTCTGCCGTCCACCTGGAACCCTGCTCACCTGGGCAGGCGGAGGGGCCTGCAGGCTGGGCCTGGGCCTCTGAGGGGCAGACACAGTGCGTGTGTGCACACGTTGACGCCAGCTCTGTTGCTCTGGGAGGGAGCCACCCAGCTGGGGTCCAGCAACTAGAGGGACACTCCTGAGGCTGAGATCCCTGGAAGGAGCTGCAGGGTTTGCTCAGCCAAAGAAGCCAGGCTGGGCCGGATGAYGTGGTGCACTCCTGTCATCCCAGGGGCTGGGGAGGCTGAGGCAGGAGGATCCTGATTTGGAGGCCACTCTCAGAAATTGAGCAAGACCTTAAGCAACTCAGCGAGACCCTGTCTATAAAAA